CTTACAGGTCAGATCTGCCAAAATACCAGGGCTGTGGGTAAGTTCAAACGTAATAAAATCCTTTACATTGTAGAAAATAAACATAAAATGAAACATCAAGGTAGATTTTAAATGGTGATAAAACACTTGCAAAATGGCATAACTTATAGATGGAGAAGAGGTGAAAAACCAGAAAGGCCAACTACTGTGGTGCTAAGGCTTTCAAGCTCCTGACACGAGAAGGGTAAAACTGTAAATTTAAATCAAGAGCAGCATTTTATTTTGAAATTGCTTTCCAAAGCACAGTAGTTCTAAAAGTAGCAACTTCAAAGAGTAAAGAATGTCTAAAGTGGCTTATTTCAAGTTTAGAGTGTTCTGAAAAATCAGCAGCTTTATCTAATACCCAGCAGGAATCATACATATCCCTCACAACTAAGGCTGATCCAAGACCATAAAACAAAGTAGTGTTTTATAAAACTTGGTTTGGTGGTTCACCACGTCATCCATGGAGGCCCCAGGTTTACATCACTACCTTGGATAAAATATAGGGCTCCAATAAACTTGCTTTTTGCAAAACCAATACTGTTATAATAGCACAGAAGGTTAGATAATGCATTTTGCAATCCAATTTGTGGTTCACTTTAAGCTATAGATATCAATAACTAATTCCACATGTGAGACAGACCTCCCAGAGGGAGATGTTAATCAAATAAGTGATGGTAAAAGCGAGGTTTAGTATAACTCCCTGTACTAACTATACGTTGATCCGGTAAAACGTTACTGTACTTTAGCAATGGAACATTAGTAGAACGTACATCTGGTTTAGTTATTTCTGTAAGGCAGCTTGTACACATAAACCACAGAGCAATTATTTTATCATTACAATTATATTAAAAATGAGCTTTAAATGCATTTGCCCCATCTTTTTAACTGCTAATGTTGTCCAGATCCATTCCCAATTTTATAAAAAAGAGGGGCGGGGTGGGAAGGGCAGCACAGAAAGGTTTATATTAGCTGTGTACTATTAATTGGACAGAAGACTCTGTACTGCAATGTTGATTAATGGTTCTGCTCTCTAGCTGGAGATTGCAAGTACAAAAGAATTAGGCCTCTGAATTTGCATATCTGCTATAATTACAAACATGATCACAGCTCTCTCCCTTATTCAGGTCCGTCCCCTGTCCCTGTCCGTCCCATCCCACCCCCCCTACACTTTTGGTAGTTTAATTTGCACAAGTCTAGCTGCTGACAGGTACAATGATCTGATACCTATGATACATGACAAGTCAATCAATCTACATACCTGCTACAGAACTTACACCACAAATGACTCAAGGTCTAAAATGCTGGAAAATCAAACAAAAACCTAACTTTCTTCCACAAAGAGCGTTTTGCTCCAGTAAAGCACTACTTTTTTTACTTGCTCCCATTTCAGACAACTCATGACCACAATAAATACACTTCCATCAAAATCTGCTGACTTAAAGACAGCAAATACATTCTTTTTAGCCACTCAGAACAAAATAAAGCTAACCAAATGAAATGAGGTCCAGACTGACAACTTTGTTAGCCAGAGTGAGAGCGTCACAGGCAGACGGGAATACAAGCCTTGGCAAAAGGAAAAAAGTCAGCAGCCAAGTCCTACTGAATAACCAATATGCAGATGACAGGGAAAAGAGCCGGATAGTTTAGTAAGTAGCTATGATACACATTTTAAAGACGCATTAAGAATAGCTTCTAAATAACGGGTCATATTCATCTGCTCTGCTGGTGGTCCTGCTCTGCAGCTGCCTTGTTCAGAAGTCCTGCCAGTCTACTCAGATTGCACTGGGATGCTCTCACGCATTTGATGTGACAAATCAGAACTCACATGACAATAAACGTGAACTCAGTAAGCAGCTACTGGTCTTGTGTAGTAGCCACCATTTCATATTTATTGGACACTCAGCCTGAATGTAAAAACAAAATGGAAAAAACAGGCTTGTCACCCCAGTGCCAACAGCTACCATCTGCTGGAGCATTTTTAAAGCTGCTTTCAGCAGCCCATCCTTCACTGACCATCCTGAAGAAGAGTCAGTGGTTGTACTACTCTTTAAACATAATTAATCATGTTTCAGTTTCCTCAGTGATATATTCTGAAAAATCTTACAGAAACCAAAAGCCACAGTCTGGCAGCAAGCCAGCCCACGTCCTTCACTACCCACTTCCCCAAATTCCTCGCTCTCCATTCCTTGTTTTTGCCCCTCCACCTCAGTTTTTCTCCAGCAGTATTTGAAGTACTGCTGTTTGTAGGGCAGTAATGAGGACTGGATATAAATGAATTGATTAAGGTTTAAAATAACTCCTGAAGATCTGTCTGGGGTATATCTGGGGTTGGGGATATTTTTAATGTTTTTGGGGTTTTTTACCTTAATTTCATCTCCCTTCCAGTATGCAGCACAGCCTATGAAAAAGTTGTGTTAGGTCATCTGCACAGGGTTTAGCTCAAGGTTAGGTAGGTTTAAAAAGGGTAGCTCCTTTCTATGGTTCCATTATCAAGCATTCAGTTTCATATCAATACTGGTTACTTATTTAGTACAGATTTCAGCCAACCACCTCTTAAAAACATTTTCCTTTCTTCCTTGGCTCCATTCTACCCTTTTCCCCTTTTCCCCTCCAGTGCACTACAAGAGACCATAACTTTTTTCTAGACTGTCCTTCTTGGTGTCTTTTATCCCCCCTTTCTCCTACAGTCATCCTCCTCCAGTATTTACGTTGGGAAAATACAAAGCACAAATTCCAGAACAAGTAAATGGACACAATTCTTTCTAACTGCCTAGACATTCGAATAAAGAGCTCTCCCACAAGATGGGGTTTTGCTTTCTGGGTTTGGTGGGAGGCTTTTTTTTTTTGGTTGAAACAGTACTGCAGTTTTTAAAATGCTCAAGACAGTTGGATAACACAGAATGAGTCATCTGTACACATCTGCTTTGGTCTCACACAATTTGCAATGCAGGAATGTCTTCTCAAGCAAGAAGAAGCGTAAGCAACAACATTAAAGAAAAAAAAATAAATAAACCCGTTAATCCAAAAGTTGCTTGCTTAAGGAGATTTTACAGTTTGTTCTAGGAAGAAAGGATTTGTCACTTCCTACTAGATACACATTTTACTTAAGGTCAAAGCAGCAGCATAAGAAAGGCAACACCCAATGATCCAAACGAGATGCAGAGTTGAAACCTTTTTCATTTTTGTTTGAGTCTGTGCTTTAATTCTGCATAATGCAAAGATTAAACCATGGGCTACACACTTCAGGGTTTTCTTTTGATTATTTTCAATACAAAACTTAGAAAGCAAACAAACAAAAAACCCCAACACTTGTCTTTATCACAGTATGTATAAACACACAGAACTGAAATAAAAACAAAGCTTTCAGTATGAAAAGTTTGCTCTGATCTTCCTAGTGTCTTCAGAAGGGGAAAGTTATTATTTTAAAATTCCAATCTTACAGCACAATCACCTTGAAAACATTTGAAAATGAATCAAAAAAGTAATTTCAAATCAACAGGACAGCACCTAACTTGCCCCCCTGGTGAAGACTTGTCAAACAATAGTCAGACATATTACAATCAAACTCCAAATTTCTTAACTCCAAGCTCATTGGCCATTCTCAAATTATCCACTGATACCAACTAAACAGCATCCTCTGAAAACAGTTGCCAGCCTTCAGATGCAGCGGGGCAAAAACAGTCTCAATAAACTGAACATTCTCTAAACACTATTTTATGTCAAAGGCTAAAACTCAAAAAACTAAAGGAAATATAAACACTATGGTAGTACTTCACAAAATACTGGCTGAAAAAAAGGCAGTGCACTAAAATAATTATTTTCAGTATCTTATTTAGGCAAATTGTAATGCTTTTATTGACCTAGAATGTTTGCATCAAAGTGTGAAGCTCTCTAGAAGACTGAAACATTAAGGGTGCTACTTTTGTTCCTCTTTGATGCACCTGTCTTTATTTATTTTGAATTTATAGTTATTATCTTTACAAAAGGCTTGTATTTCGCTCCTTTACTTCACATGGAGTGCCTGGGAACAGGAAACTTCAACGCTAAAGGTAGAGGCCATGCAAAGTTGGAGTACAAAAGACTATACAGACAAGTACTCATAAATAGATTATAAAGCCCTTTTTTTTCTTATTGCCTTTCTTGGTTATATTTTATTGAAAAATGCAACAACATGCATCCCTATGAAACATTTTCCTTTTGTTAAATCAGTATTTTTCTGAAAGAAAGTGTTCACTGAAATTAAAATTGCATAAACTCAGCTTACTCATTTGTATAGCAACTGGTGTAAAGATTTGATTTCAACTGGGGTATCTTGATGCCAGTAAAATACATGCAGTTTTGGGAGAAGGAAGTTAGGGGAATTTGGTGGCCTTGTTTGTTTGCTTATTCTACTTGTTTGCTCTTGGGCAAGAAGTTAAAAAATGAGAAACAGTCATTTGATTAAGACAATAATACATCTGAGTCATAGCTCCGACTAGGGGGAGAAAAAATATATGCCAAAGGCATGTGCCCAGGTCTTATGCATCTGTTAAACTAGAACAATAGAGCTCTTATCTTTGCCTCAGGGAGCCTGTAGATTATATCAGCTGCTGCACTGGCATGCCCCACCATTCTAAGCTAAGTTTTCAAGATACAAGAGGATAAGAGCATGAATGAATTCTTTGCAGAAGGCAGCCAGGTATCCAGTGCTCAACAGTAAGCAGAATGAGGAGGGAGCTGCTGGAAGCAAGGAAAGCAACTGAAAAAAAAACCATCCCCAGTGTCAAGTAATAGCAATGGATAATAACACATTGTTTAAACAAAATGTAAAACGCCCGTATTAAATGCTTTAAATGTTCTTTCAGCGTTAGACATCTGTGCTTATTTTGGGAAGTTGACTAAACTACTAAGAATTATTGTGTACTTGAAAACTCATTTAGCACCTGTTTAACAGTGATTGAGGCCTTATGAATAGCTTATGGAGAAAGACAACTCACCTTGTATAAAGCAGGAATGATCTGGTGCATTTTCAGTCGATTAAATACAAAGATATCGTACACCGCTGAAATGGCCAGAACAGTCACTCCTTGTTCCTTCCACAACATGCTGCATCCTGCACACAGCCCCGTTCCCAAGATCCAGCCCCATGTACTTGGTGAGGAACCTCTGGTTGAGCAGTGCTTCACATAACACATCAGAGAAAGCAGAAAGAAGAGACAGGCTCCAATGTCTGCCCTCCCTACAATCCCTGCTACAGCTTCTGTGTGGATCGGATGAGACGCAAACAGCAGGCCTGCTATCAAGGTCCAGTACCCATCCCCAAACAGGATCCTGGAGAAGTTTGTGAAAAGGCCTGTGACTGCAGCATGTAACAAGACATTCACAAGGTGGTAGCTCCATGGGTCCATCCCTCCAACAGCATGGTTAATACGAAAGGAGAGTGTGCAGAGAGGTCTGTAGGACTTGTGGCTCCCACTGTGAGTGAGCAATGTCCCCCAGAAGTCATTGTAGAAGATATGGGTCCATGGCGTCTCAGGCAGAAGGTCCTGGTTTGTCTTGATAGCTCGACTACAAAAGACAAATAAAAACTTAATTTCAACAGAAGGAAAAGGGTACAAATGAAAGGCTGTGAAAATGCAATCATACTGCTACCAGAGAAAGAAAGGTATTGCTTTGGTGCTGCTTTAATTTAAGTTTTAAATTTTTACAGGAGGTGTTAAAAAACTACATATCTATTGACTTCCCACTAAAGCAAAATTTCCATATAAATTGGCTTTTAAAACACTGAAAACAGATGTTATGCTGCTTCCATTATATTAAAACACCCTTCAGTGACATTCTTCTGAGTCTAACCCAGGAGTAACCGGTTAAGATTTGATGAGTTCTAATTAAAATGTAAAAGAAATATGAAAAACTGACAAACACTATTGTTGAAACAACAGATTCTCCACTAATTCAGTACTAAAACCCCCAACTGGCCCTTTATACTGAAATTTTAATTTAGATGTTCGAATGGACATGGATGAACAATAAATACGGCAGTTGGTAGGAGCATGCAAATCTCTGGTGCTGAACAGGGTACTCCCACAGCTGTCTGCACCTATTTTAACTGACAATATTTTCTGCTAACACTTTGCTGGAGGCAGACAGCAGAATATTTTACAGATGAAAATAAACCTTCCTTTACATTTCTTGTATTTACAAATGAGGAAAAAGAAAACATTTTTAGGTTGTAGTAGCTATGAATTCAAGTCTGTGTCAGCTTGATTGGGAAAAAAAGTGCTGCAGCTTTCAGCATTTACGTTTCCAACCACCCTGGCAAGGACTGGTGCCAGCCATTAGCAGTCTCCATGTCAGTACTGTAAAAATCTGTCTCCTCTAGTGTTTGTACAAATCCAATCATTTGCATTTAAAATTTATGCTGTGGGAGAAGGTGCGAGACCTGCTTAGTGCAAAAAGATGACTGGAATTTAATTAGTTACTTGACTTCATAAGCAAAGTTATATTTAAGCAATTCTTTAAAGATGCACTGTTATTACCACTGAGCTTAACTCATTTAGCATTTATTTTATGAGATAATTAAGAATCCATCCAGCTCAAGTCCCCTCAGTTAAAAATACTAAACGAGAGATGATTTATATTCAATTCTTTACTCATTCCCTCTTTCTGTGTTTCCAATAAATATCTTCCCATAAGTAACAATTTTTCAATTCACATGAGGGAGAAAAAAGAAAAAAGACTTGTGTGAAGCACAACTCAGGCCTGCATCTGAAATGCACTACTCTCGTTCATACTCCAAGACCCCCCTCACATTCTCCGTTCCTTTGGAATGTGTATCTAAATCCCTTTTTCTTTTATTTTATAGTTTTATTTTCAGGAATGTTGTCTTGTTCTATAAAGAAAAATGCTCAAACACTGATATCCTATGCCACAGAACCTCCACACAAATATTCTAAATACCATGCAGCTCAGCATTTCCATTGTCCGGAGCACATTGCTGTAATGCTTTCAGACACACTCCCTCTCAGCATGTCCTTTTGTCTCTGAGCGTACGGAGGTTATGGAGAGGTCAGATTAAATCCTTTAAAGATCTAACGATGCTTTCTACAATACTTGAAAATTTCCATTTTGACTTCTGCTCATGCCATGGATTGGGTTGCTTGATTTGTTTTCCCAACCCCACACACATTTTTCTCATTTTAGTCCAGTCACAAAAGAATATTGGAAGAAAACAAGAACTTTGTTTTCACAATATTTATCTCATCCTTCTGTGTAGGCCTTTTCTGAAATCTAATTCCTCTGTTTGCAATTTCAGTTCGTAGAATCACTACCAGAACCACTGTCAGAAAACTAGGAATGCAGCAAGAATAAAGCAGGTGTTGGACTAGAAAGAGTCCTTTCTCTGAGAGTAACGTATTATGTTAGACTACAGATTCCCAAACACTAAGAATGGCAATCAGATGTCAGGATTTAGAGCTGACACCTTGAACTGCAAAAACGTTCGTTTCTTGGGGAAATACTAAGAAAAATAAGTGGCAGTAATACTGCCAGCACAACTGCCCCAACTGCATTCAGCTACAAAAAGCCTAGATAGTGCACCAGTTCATTCTCAGGAAATGGTAGCTCTTATTATATCTTTTACAAACGTGGCCATTTCCAATATGTGAAGCCACGCAACCACTTAAAAAATAAAACAAACAAAACAACAAAAAAAATTCTGAATAAAATACTTCCACACTATGCTGCTACACTTGCTAAGAGACCAGTCCTCTCCGTCTAAGCCAATGATTTTCATGCAGCACATACTCATATTGGACTTATATTCCACACCAAAAGTAAACTGCTTTTCCCCAAATAATCAAGAAACCTACTGCACATTCTGAAGGCATTAATTCAGTCAAATTTTATATATAGACAGCAAAAAATCTGATGCAACCCTGATCAGTTCCTGTTCAGTCCTGGTTTTATTAAAAATATATAAAATTAAAAAGAAAATCAAAAGGAAGCCTTGAAGATACAGTATTGATCACCCTGTATTTGAGTATGGATTTCAGCTGGCAAGTCTGAATTACTCCTAGTTTCTCGTATGTGTAAAAGCAACCAATTCTGGTGCCTGCCAGTCAGCATGACAAATACAGCTGGCAATTCCAACTTACTCAGCGATTTAGTCAGGTCAAATGTTGTATTCTCTAGGAGTCAAAATTTTAAATAAAGTTAAAAGCCCTTTCCATTATTTTTTGCTAAATGTTTTTAAAAGAAAAAAAAAATCAAAAAACAAAAGTCTAGCGAATGGTTTGGAATATTAGAAAAGCCTAATACAAGAGCAAAGCTAGACATTCTACAGCAAAGAAGTCTCACATAATAGTCAACAACTACTCTGTTTCACATTACAAAATTTAAGAAAAAACACAACTTGGCCAACACCAGATGTGACTGCTCAGGAGGATGCAAGATTATGAGCACCTGAGATATTAGAGCCAGGCAGCCCTTTGTCTTTTTGCCCTCAAAAGTAAAAGTCAACAAGGTCTCGGTAACACTAGGACAACACCGTGGACACCATTACTGAAGGACCAACGGAGTCCATGCAAAACCACCTGGGACCATGCCCATCTGCATCCCCAGCCCAGCTGTCTAACAGCACTGGCAAGATAAACATGAGGTGAAACATTCAGAAGTACAAGCTCTGTATCTAATAAAATAAAAGAATAAATAGTACTAAATTGTTCATATCAAGGCCCTGAGGGCACTAACAAGCCCTGCCAGCCCTGGGGCTCCCCCACCTTGCCCACAGCCCAACACCCCATTTCTGCCCCACAAGGCCATCAGCCCGTGCCTCAGGGACACCACAGCAGGGCCAGTCTCCAGCTCCCCACAGCCCTGCCTTGCCATGGGTGTCCCTAAGCCAGGCCCACATCTTGGCCTGTCCCCAGGGAGGTGCCCGATACCGGGTGCCCCAACACACCTGGCTGCCCTGCTCCTTGCTGGGGCAAGGCCCTGTTTTTCTTTAATTACTAAATTAACAAGCTGTTAACTCTGCTGCAGTATTGATGCTTAGCTGCCAATTTCAACAGCAGTTTTAAAAGCAGCCCCTCTTCCCAGCCCGGCAGGTAGTGCTGATGCGTCCTTTGTAAAGCCTCCTGTGCTGGCAGGAATCTGGGATCTCCACAGACAGAAAATAATATTAATTGCTGGCTCCGGGAAAGACTCTGGGATGAGAGAAACTACAAAACGCCTTATTAGCCTTGTCTTCTCCTTCAGTCACAGTTTACCTTCGGGTTACATCCTGCAGATTAGTCCAATCTTGCTAATGGGCATAACGAGAAATTCTCCAACTGCACTCATCACTCTGAAACAGAGCTGTAAACTGTTCTTGCTAAAAGGCAGCGGGTCACCAGGAAAAGTCATTTTTCAAAGCTCCAACACAACTGGCATTTTTACTTTCAACCAGCCTCAGATAAGGGTTGCAGACTCAGTCGGGAACTTGCTTGCTTTAATTTTTAATGCCTGCCCACTTCACTCATCCCAGGAGAGCGGAATATCTTCTTCAGTGTACAACAAATGGATGGGTTTAAGGAAGGAAGGAAAGAATCAGGGTCAGCAATCAGGTCTTCAAAATGGAAATCTGAAGATAGGTATAAGCTGTAAAGGCAAAATCCTAATATGTAACCCAGTCAAAAGAATCATTCTGCCTCCTGCCACAGACTACTTACTTGCCTAGATGGATACACACCTTTAGCACAATTTAGTGAGATTTTTTTCATCAAACTCAAAAATGCCAGAGATCCAGCAGCTCACACATGCACATACACATGCATGCACACAAAAATCCCAGATGTTTTTAAAATTAACAGCTATATATGTCCTAAACTGCTGCACTAGTGCTAAACTGATCCAGGTGTTAACACTAGGGCAAAAAAACAGATGCAACATTCTAAAGTGATTTAACGCGTTAAGCCTTATGTCCAGCTTCAATATTGCTAATGGTCCCCATATGCTGAAAATAAACATCAGCATTTGAAGTAGAGAACATATTTTAAAGAAAAAGGAGAACTCCCAAATGTGCACACGGGAAGCCATTGACCAGCCCTCTCCCACATAAAATAGATAGGCAGTGATGGACTTGCAAGTCTACTTGGAGGTTCTTCATTGTTTTTCCCCAGGGTCACTTCTGAATATTATTCATTTCCTCCTTTTTGATAAATAGCGAAGTGAAAGCACACTGTCTTTATGGCGGATCTTAAGGGTCCTAAGGATGCTTTCAAGATTTTATGTTACTTGTACAGACAACAAGCCCGGAAACACAGCTAGAACCTACTTTTTGAAGTACAAATAGTTTCACATAACCAAAATATACAGCTGAGCCAACCCTCCAAACTGCTTACAGGATATCTGTCAGGCAGGTGCGTGGTCAGAAAGCAGGCAACTAAAGCTTGCTGTAGTTTGGACAATTCTTGTATTTGCCTACAGAATACAATATACATGTAAGTCTCTACTGACAGCCTAAAGAAAAATCAGAAACTATTATCTAGTACATAGAAATACCTTAATAAAGTATTAAGCAGAAGTAC